TGTGCCACGAGTGGGCGTCCTCGGACACCTGGGACACCATGAGGAGCTCCAGGCCAAAGATGGCGACCACCACGGCCAAGGTGGCCACGCTGCGGGCCACAGCCATGCCCGAGGCTAGCCCGGGCACGTGGGCCTGCCTCAGGTCTCGGAGGCAGTGCAGCTCAGCCTGGTTGGAGGTGGTGCAGAAGTGCCACAGCCCGAAGAGACGGTCGTCGACCAGGAGCCAGTGGCCATCGCAGATGGAGAGGGAGGAGAGGACCACGGCCAGGGAGGCACACAAGATGATGAGGGCCCGGATGGAGGGTTCAAAGAAGGGCCGGCGGGGCCTCCTTTGGGCCAGCAGCTTCTGGGCCTGGAAGACAGCACGGGGCAGCATGAGGGAGGGCCCCCGCCACAGCCCACCAGCCTCCTCAGGGAAGACCCAGAGCACACCTTGTAGCTTCCGACAGCCACGGTTTCTGCTTCGGTCTCCCAGGATGCCCGGGAAGCCCACCTTAGTCACAGCACAGACCCACCTCCTGGTGGGGCGGGGGGGACCCTCCTCCCATCCTACCTGTTCCGCATCCGTCCTCCATTCGAGACCTATAAGCATTGCCTGTGGATCTAGTTATTCACTGGGCAAAGAGTTCCCTGACCTTTCTTTAATGATCTTTATAATGCGTAAGAAACCCAATTGTATTGACAGGCAAATCTTGGTCCATTCTGAAGTCAGCAAACCTGTCTGGCTTGGCAGATGTGACCTTGAGCTAGCAGCCAGCCTTGGTTTCTTTGTATGCAAAACAAGAATACTGCACTAGACATTATTAGCACACCAGTGAAGGTTACACAGCTCCCTCTTCTGGCCCCTGGTCTTCCCCAGCTTCATTCTAATCTGCACCCAGCTTTTTCTGCACTTTTCTTCAGTGCGCAGTGATGTTTGCACTTTGCCCTTCAGTCTGGCTCAGCCTGTACTCCGCCCAGGACATGGCACCGCTGTCTGTTCTAGAAGCTTCTGGGCGGGGGAGTCCCCGAGGCTCCCCTTCAGCCTATGGTTTCAGCCCCACAAAAGTACACCCTATCCTCTCTCCTGACAAGCTGGGCCAAGCGTCCAGTGAGGTGTCCCTTCTCACAGCCCCGGGACACCCCCAAGCCACCGTCCCCAACCCCCAACCCGGAAGCAAAAGGAATGCTTCAAAGGGTAAAACTCCTTAGACGGCCCACAAGCCCTCCCAGGGCATCCTCCCGGCCACCTCGCATGCCTAGGACAAGCCTAGAACTTCCCTCCTCACACCTACTGGTCCCTCCACCTGAGAGGCTCTTCTCCCGGCTGCCCCCCTTTCTCCATTCTTCATGTCTCAGCTGAAACATCGCCTCCTGGGAGAGGTCTGTCCTGCCCACTCAACCCAGAACGGACCCCTCCGGTCACTCTCCGTCAGGAACCGTTCTGACAAGTTTTCCATTCCTGTCTGATTCATAGTGGGAGGGCAGGACCGTGTCCCCAGCACCCGGTGCCAGTGCCGTGCTCAAGAGCCACGAGGCCGAGTTTGCAGCCGCTGTCACTTCCATCTGAAGCTCCCTTTAAACCATCTCCTGCCCAGTCATAACTTACGCCCTTTACAGTGTGTGTGGAAGCAGCCCAGGTCACGCCCCAGTTTGGGAGGTAAGCAAAGCACACAGCTCATGCGTGACGGTCACTGCTGGGAAGCAAACCGAAAGGGGACTCTGGGGGTGAGCCCTATGCCACGTGCAAGTGGAGGCTTCCAGAGGCGGTCTGGGCCACCCCTCTCGGTGAGGGGCAGAAA